TCCCATATATCTTAGTTTTGGATTTTCATGTAAAACTTTTTAGAAGACTTTTGTGGGGTTTTTTTTTGCATTAACATCCCATTGTCCTCATGAAACCTATGAATTTTGTAACTGGTATTTCAAGTAAGTAATATTTTATTTTCTGTTATTTTAGATTCACTGGTTTTCAATATTCAACTCCTTCATGATGGTTATCTTCTTGGTGGGCTTAGTTTCAATGATTTTAATGAGAACTTTAAGAAAAGATTATGCCCGGTACAGTAAAGAAGAAGAAATGGACGACATGGTAAGCAAACATTTTACATTGTATTTATAAAATAATTTAACTCAATGTTATTGAATGTTGGAAGCAAGTCCATAATCCTGAGGGCAGATGAGCTTTAGAATTCAGAATTATCAGGTTTTAGAAAGGTAGAAAGCTCCCTGCGGGGTCTCTAATCAAATATTTTAATGTTTTTACATGCCCTGATTACATGTCCTATAATCAAATATATTAATGTGTTTTCAGCAAAACATATGAATGTTCACCCTAAGTGGGATAAATAAACAGTATAAATAACCTCTTGTTAGTTCGCTCCAAGATTTGCCACCAAATGAGGATATGTCAAACTTGTGAGGCAGACTTCACTTTTCAGAGCTTTTGATTTCAGAATTGCAGCTAGGAGGTCGTAGACTTGCATTGGTATCTTTCTAATGCTGTTAAGTATTGCATAAAATTAAGGGAGTAGGTGGAAGGATTGATTTACATTTAGTTTAGTAGGTTCAAAGGGGAGAGTTGTTTCTAAATTATTTTTAATAAATTGTTGAACAGTGTTGTAAATGAGCAAAAGTGGTGTTTTTTTTTAAAAATTTTTTTGGCTGCACTGTGTGGCTTGCAGGATCTTAGTTCTTGGCCAGGGATTGAACCTGTGCCCTCAGCAGTGAAAGCTTGGAGTCCTAACCACTGGACTGCCAGGGAATGTTAATGGCTATTCTTTTACTTTTTTTTTTCTAATTGAAGTGTGGTTAATTTACAATGTTGTGTTGGTTTCAGGTGTACAGCAGAGTGATTGAGTTGTTTAATGGCTAGTCTGTGTAGATATGCTCCATCATTAAATAAGTTTGGAAAACAGTTAAACAAATTAAAATTTTAATATGCTCATGTGTATTGTGAAGTATCAGAGGGTAGATGAAATATTTGGTGCCTCTCAAACATAGCTGACCAGGAGCCCCCCCCCCGCCAAGGCCAAAAAACCCACAAAGATTATCTTGAGGGACTAATATTTCTTAAGAAACAGTGTTTTGGTTACTTGCTTACTTGGGTTGAAAAGGCAAAATTGAATCCTTTTTAAAAAATGCTATAGACAGTTAAATGATATTTAACTATTTGATATATTCGCTGTGTATTTTCTTAGGCTCCAGGCTATAAGGGAGATTTCTGCATTGCTAGGGCATCTAGTACTGTTTTTTTGTTTTGTTTTGTTTTGGCGGTTTGCAGGCCTCTCACTGCTGTGGCCTCTCCTGCTGTGGAGCACAGGCTCCGGATAGGCAGGCTCAGCGGCCATGGCTCACGGGCCTAGCCGCTCTGCGGCACGCGGGATCCTCCCGGACCGGGGCACGAACCCGTGTCCCCTGCATCAGCAGGCGGACTCCCAACCACTGTGCCACCAGGGAAGCCCTCTAGTACTGGTTTTAATCTTCTTCAGTTTTGCTCTCCACCTGGCCCCCACTCATTTGTGAGCCGTAGTCATGATGTAAAGGTCAAGAGTAGTGTCTGAAAGTAACATTCAGAGAGCCATTGGGCTTTTCTCCCAGTTTGACCATTTCTTTTTGCACCTAGACCTTTTCTTTTTCCATTCTTTGAGATTCTCTGAGTACAACCAGGATCCACCTTCCTGAGCCTCAGTAATATTACAACACTTTAACATTATAAGTTATTAAAGCAGAAATTATTTTAAATTTGAACAAATGTCTTTTCTTGATATTTTGAAACCCTTTTAATACCTTTAAGTTTGTAGTGAGGGAACTTACGACTGTAATTGTAAATTTTTACCTATTTTATGTATTTTAATTTCATTCTGAATTATTTTCTTTTCTCTCAACATGTATATGTATTTAGGATAGAGACCTAGGAGATGAGTATGGATGGAAGCAGGTGCATGGAGATGTATTTAGACCATCAAGTCACCCGCTGATATTTTCGTCTCTCATTGGTTCTGGATGTCAGATATTTGCTGTGTCGCTCATTGTTATTATTGTTGCAATGATAGAAGATTTGTATACAGAGTAAGTTCATGTGCTTAATTTTATTACTTTTTTGTTGTTCTTGAATAGTTTTAATAATTGGAACCTTTAAGTCAATCATAATTAAATATTTGCTGATTCCAATTATCTTAGAATTTAAATAGCCTAAATATCATTATTGCAAACAAATTAAATAATGAGCAGTATTCTTCAGCTGTAAGTATATTTTTCTGTTATATCCTAAAATTATTAGCCTTACTGACGTTTTGGTTGGTTATAAAGGTTATATTCCATTAGAGGTATGAGCAGAATTAGTTACAAATCAGAGTTGTTTGACAAAGTGAATAGGCACTTTTTGAAATCTGAAGATCCAATTAGATCTTCATAAGAAACGCAAAAGGATTACACATTTACTGAATTAATGCTTCACATCTGCCTCCAAAACTTGTAGACTCTACAGACAGAAGAAAGCATTGTAAATAACAGTAAAAAGAGTGGTGGAAAAGGCACATGAGGTTAGAAAAATAATTGGATGACTTCTTATCCTATCTTTACATGGTTTTCTGGTACATTTTTTCTTTGAAAACAGAACCAGTTGCAAGAAATTCTTTTTTTTTTTTTTTGATAAATTTATTTATTTTTGGATGCGTTGGGTCTTTGTTGCTGTGTGTGGCTTTCTCTAGTTGCGGCGAGTGGGGGCTACCCTTCATTGCGGTGTGTGGGCTTCTCACTGCGGTGGCTTCTCTTGTTGCAGAGCATGGACTCTAGGCACGTGGGCTTCAGTAGTTGTGGCAGACGGGCTCAGTAGTTGTGGCTCTCGGGCTCTAGAGTACAGGCTCAGTAGTTGTGGTGCATGGGCTTAATTGCTCCGCGGCATGTGGGATCTTCCCAGACCAGGGCTCGAACCTGTGTCCCCTGCACTGGCAGGCGGATTCTTAACCACTGCGCCACCAGAGAAGTCCTGCAAGAAATTCTTGATGTGAGGCCTTTGGATCATAAGAAAAACTTGTACATTCACCAAGATCTCAAGCCCCTATTTAGTAGCCCTATAACCTTGTGCTCAGAGAACCATGACCTCAGCAAAGCAAACACGCTCTGAGCCTGGGGTATAGATGCCACCCCATTAAGTCCTCAGTCAGAATGACACTTGTCCCCAGTTAAATCTCGTACCTCTGTTTCAGTTCATGATGCCTTCTTGCTTAAATGTGCTTGGCATTTGGTGGACAAGCAGTAAATTGTTTTGCTGAAAGCATGGCTCTTTAGTTGTATATTAAATATTTAACTATATTAAATTGCTGTTTTTTCCACTGGACAGTAAGCTCCTTGAGAGCAAGGACTGGGTCTTATCTTTGCATTCTGAGAGTACCTCAAGAACTTCGTATATGCAGGGTACTCAATCAGTGCTTGTTGAACTGCAGTGAATGTGTATTAATCAACAAAGTTATTTCTCTGTAGTTTCTGTCATATTTCTTTAATATAACCTTTGTAATTTATTTACTGCATGAACCTTAAAATAATTGGACAGAACCTAAACTTCAGTGTTCTGCTAGGTAGTTCTTATTTTAGGATATAATATATTTCAAATGAAATCCCAAATTCAAGAAAAGCATTTCAAATCTTTCAAGAAGTCATGCTTTACATTAAATACTGGATTAAATGCATCACTACAGAATTGACACTGACTGTATAGTCACAGTCTTTTTTTTCTTGAATTTTATTTATTTTTTATACAGCACGTTCTTATTAGTTACCCATTTTATACATATAAGTGTATATATGTTAATCCCAGTCTCCCAATTCATCCCACCACCATCACCACCCCCCACCACTTTCCCCCCTTGGTGTCCAGATGTTTGTTCTCTACATCTGTGTCTCTATTTCTGCCCTGTAAACCGGTTCATCTATGCCATTTTTCTAGGTTCCACATATATGTGTTAATATACGATATTTGTTGTTCTCTTTCTGACTTACTTCACTCTGTATGACAGTCTCTAGATCCATCCATGTCTCTACAAATGACCCCATTTCGTTCCTTTTTATGGCTGAGTAATATTCCATTGTATATATGTACCACATCTTCTTTATCCATTCGTCTGTCAGTGGGCATTTAGGTTGCTTCCATGACCTGGCTATTGTAAATAGTGCTGCAATGAACATTGGGGTAGTAATTCTTTTTGAATTACGGCTTTCTCTGGGTATATGCCCAGTAGTGGGATTGCTGGGTCATATGGTAGTTCTATTTTTAGTTTTTTAAGGAGCCACCATACTGTTCTCCATAGTGGCTGTATCAATTTACATTCCCACCAAAAGTGCAAGAGCGTTCCCTTTTCTCTACACCCCCTCCGGCATTTGTTGTTTGTAGATTTTCTGATGATGCCCATTCTAACTGGTGTGAGGTGATACCTCATTGTAGTTTTGATTTGCATTTCTCTAATGATTAGTGATGTTGAGCAGCTTTTCATGTGCTTCTGGGCCATTTGTGTGTCTTCTTTGGAGTAGTCACAGTCTTATAAGTTAGTAGTGGGTAACCTCTCCTAGAATCCAAGTTTTTGCTTTGTTCCTTCTCAAATGTTAGGGTTACAGCATTGGCAATTCATTTTTTAATTCCGAAGCTGTTCTGCTTATAAACCTTCAGCTTTTAGAAATAAGAAACCGCATCTAATAGATGGTATTAGTAGGCAAGTCATGCATTGTTATTTTAGCCTGTCATTATTATCGATAGTTGTTCTACGTTGTGCTTATTTGAAGTGAACATACTTAATCATTTACATGGTAAGTACTACAGCTGTGAGTATTATTATGATATCAGTGTTATTATGATATCAAAATGACTAACATTATTGAGGTTCCGTGTTAGGAGCTTTATGCTCATTAGCTCATTTAATCCTCACGTCAGCCCCATAAAGGGACTATTATTATCTCCATCCCACAGATGAGAAGAGTAAAGCTCAGGGAGGTTAAGTAATTTGAGTAAGATCACACAGCTATTAGTAAAGGGTGTTAGTAAGCTGGGGTTTGAACCTAGGCACTCTTACTACAGAATGTCTCTCTTAATTTTCTGGGCTGTAGAAATGAAGATAGAGATAGTAAAAATACAAAGCAGTGAGAAAATGAAAAACTTGCACATAAAATTTGTAAGACTCCCTCCAGGTTAGGAATCTAAAGGATTCTAGAGGATAAAAAGCAGATAATGTAACATGTGAAAATTACTTTGCTCAATGATGGTCATAGCAATCAGGGAAGAAAAAAATATTTAGATAGGTAGAGGATCAGCATCAATGTAGGCCTGCAGGTTAGTGTGATATTAACCCTTGAGAAGGTATATGGTGTTTGAGAAGGTATGGGTAAGTCTGGTAAAATGCAGCTGCTGTGCTGAAACTTGCTTTGCAGTGGTGAGATGGCAAGTGTAGGTGAAGCAGCTACTTAGATATCACCCTCTTCCCCCGACCCCCAGTCTTGGAGAGATGAACAAGGAGGACAGTTCCCCACTTCAGCAGATTTTTTCAGTGTAGGTGAAAATGGTCTATTTTGGGTGTAAAATACCCACAAAATATTTATGAACAAAGAGGTGCAAGGGTATGTCTGATTTTTAAAACTGTAAATTATACTCACACTTCCATTTAGTGGAAATGTCTCTGGGGACTACAAACTTAACCCGCTGGTAGTCATTGTGGACTCTCAGTCACATGAGCAGCCTTTTTGAACTGTCTGTCAGTGGTCACACACCCAGTTATAAACAGAATGGATCAATTTGTTAATGATAGTCTGGAAGAAATAAGTTAGTACCTGCAGTGTTTAATTGGATACTTGAAAAAACAAATCTGGTTTTTATTATTTATTTAATTTTTTAACATCTTTCTTGGAGTATAATTGCTTTACAATGGTGTGTTAGTTTCTGCTTTATAACATATTGATTCAGCTATACATATACATATATCCCCATATCTCCTCCCTCTTGCATCTCCCTCCCACCCTCCCTATTCCACCCTTCTAGGTGGTCACAAAGCTCTGAGCTTTTCTCCCTGTGATATGTGGCTGCTTCCCACTAGCTATCTATTTTACATTTGGTAGTATATATAAGTCCATGCCACTCTCTCACTGCATCCCAGCTTACCCTTCCCCCTCCCTATGTCCTCAAGTCCACTCTCTACGTCTGCATCTTTATTCCTGTCCTGCCCCTAGTTTCTTCAGAACCATTTTTTTAAAGAGTCCATATATGTGTGTTAGCATACGGTATTTATTTTTCTTTTTCTGATTTATTTCACTCTGTATGACAGTCTCTAGGTCCATCCACCTCACTACAAATAGTTCAATTTCGTTTCTTTTTATGGCTGAGTAATACTCCATTGTATATATGTGCCACATCTTCTTTATCCATTCATCTGTCGGTGGACACTTAAGTTGCTTCCATGTCCTGGCTATTGTAAATAGAGCTGCCATGAACATTGTGGTACATGACTCTTTCTGAATTATGGTTTTCTCAGTGTATATGCCCAGTAGTGGGATTGCTGGATCATATGGTAGTTCTGTTTTTAGTCTTTTAAGGAACCTCCATACTGTTCTCCATAGTGGCTGTATCAATTTACATTCCCACCAACAGTACAGGAGGGTTCCCTTTTCTCCACACCCTCTACAGCATTTATTGTTTGTAGATTTTTTGATGATGGCCGTTGTGACCGGTGTAAGGTGATACCTCATTGTTGTTTTGATTTACATTTCCCTAGTGGTTAGTGACGTTGAGCATTCTTTCATGTGTTTGTTGGCAATCTGTATATCTTCTTTGGAGAAATGTCTATTTAGGTCTTCTGCCCATTTTTGGATTGGGTTGTTTGTTTTTTTGATACTGAGCTGCATGAGCTGCTTGTAAATTTTGGAGATTAATTCTTTGTCAGTTGCTTCATTTGCATGTATTTTCTCCCATTCTGAGGGTTGTCTTTTCATCTTGTTTATGGTTTCCTTTGCTGTACAAAAGGCTTTAAGTTTCATTATTTGTTTATTTTTGGATTGTTTTTATTTTTGTTTTGTTTTATTTTTGTTTTTATTTCCATTTCTCTAGGAAGTGGATCAAAAAAGGATCTTGCTCTCCCTGTGTTTTCCTCTAAGAGGTTTATACTGTCTGGCCTTACATTTAGGTCTTTAATCCATTTTGAGTTTATTTTTGTGTATGGTGTTAGGGAGTGTTCTAATTTCATTCTTTTACATGTAGCTGCCCAGTTTTCCCAGCACCACTTATTGAAGAGGCTGTCTTTTCTCCATTGTATATTCTTGTCTCCTTTATCAAAAATAAGGTGACCATATGGGTGTGGGTTTATCTCTGGGCTTTCTATCCTGTTCCATTGATGTATATTTCTGGGCCAGTACCATACTGTCTTGATTTCTGTAGCTTTGTAGTATAGTCTGAAGTCCGGGAGCCTGATTCCTCCAGCTCCGTTTTTCTTTCTCAAGATTGCTTTGGCTGTTCGGGGTTTTTTGTGTTTTCATACAGATTGTGAAATTTTTTGTTCTAGTTCTCTGAAAAATGCCATTGGTAGTTTGATAGGGATTGCATTGAATCTGTAGATTGCTTTGGGTAATATAGTCATTTTCACAATGTTGATTCTTCCAATCCAAGAACATGGTATATCTCTCCATCTATTTGTATCATCTTTAATTTCTTTCATCAGTGTCTAATAGTTTTCTGCATACAGCTCTTTTGTCTCCTTAGGTAGGTTTATTCCTAGGTATTTTATTCTTTTTGTTGCAATGGCAAATGGGAGTGTTTCCTTAATTTCTCTTTCAGAGTTTTCATCCTTATTGTGCACTCCTGTGCAGGAGATTTCTGTGTGTTTATTTTGTATCCTGCTTCTTTACCAAATTCATTGATTAGCTCTAGTAGTTTTCTGGTAGCATCTTTAGGATTCTCTATGTATAGTATCATGTCATCTGCAAACGGTGACAACCTTACTTCTTCTTTTCCGATTTGGATTCCTTCTTTTTCTTTTTCTTCTCTGATTGCTGTGGCTAAAACTTCCAAAACTATGTTGAATAACAGTGGTGAGAGTGGACAGCCTTGTCTTGTTCCTGATCTTAGAGGAAATGGTTTCAGTTTTTCACCATTGAGAATGATGTTGGCTGTGGGCAAATCTGGTTTTTAAACTGATTGATTTTGAGAGACCCACAGTCTTCTAAATATGGAAATGACAGACTTTTATATTATGCCACACTTGTATTTAGCTATATATTGATGTAATTAAATATTGCAGTGTTTTAACTTATGTATCTTCTTTAAGAAATGGAACATAATTGAACAGAAGAGTGGTACATGTTTCTAGACTGTATGGTGCCTTTGTAGGTGGACAGTGGAATGGAATAATAATTATTATCCAGAAGTTGGTTAATTTTTGAAAGTTGTATATCCTTCCAGTGCACACATTAGTGTGATACTCTTGTAATTTCTATTTAAAGTAGTATTCTTTATGTCAAACTGACAAGGTTATATTTTCTATCTATAGTCTTTTACCTTCCTAGTTGTGGTGAGTTTCAGAAATGATCTTTATTTTTAGTGAGTTAAGTACATTCCTGTATTATGGCAAATGATGCTGTCATTTTATCATTTTAATATTTCTGTTTGCAATTAGGCATTTAAAATATTTTTTCCAGTTTTATTCAATAGGAGAGTTGGTCTGAATTGCTTAGATATCATTAATTGGAAGAGGAAGTTAGAAATTGTTGATCTGAGTTAATGTTGATTTGTGGACCTATGGATTTTTTTTTTTTTGCGGTACGCGGGCCTCTCACTGTTGTGGCCTCTCCCGTTGCGGAGCACAGGCTCCAGACGTGCAGGCTTAGCGGCCATGGCTCACGGGCCCAGCTGCTCCGCGGCACGTGGGATCCTCCTGGACCGGGGCACAAACCCGCGTCCGCTGCATCGGCAGGCAGACTCGCAACCACTGCGCCACCAGGGAAGCCCGGACCTATGGATTTTTAAAAACGTTTTTAACAGTGTAAAGGAAACTAAATAGGAAAAGTCTCAGTATTATACCATTTAAAGTAATAGCAATAATATAGGTTATAGTACTTCCATTTTGTTTCTATTAGCAGGCAAGTGTCTCCAGCAGTTAAATTATAAAGAGGAATATTCTAATTATTTTTCTTAACAGATGAATATCCTTTTCCATATGATGTGATTGGTTCACAGGGTTGCAAAACAGTTTTAGTGCCAGCTTCTAATATGTTTGCCAAAGAAATGTGAAATATTTGTTTAGAATATTATGAAATTTAACTTCAAATTTAAAAAGAATGAGGATCAGTCTGTTATTATTTAAGTGCAATTTTAACTAGAAATTCATTCACTAGGCGACCTTTTGAGGACCTTTAGTCCAGAAG